TTAAGGTCATCAGTTTGAAACTACCAGCCCCTCCGGGGGAGAAAGATAAGACTTTCTGCTCCCGTAAGGACTTACAGCCTCGGAAACCCTGTACACCGTTGCTACGGGTCGGAACCGACTCAACGGCACTTAACAGCAACAACATACTATTGCTGATTATATCAAGTCAAGAACTTTCTGATTTTCGTGCATAAAAATGAAAATATTTTCTTCTGAGAATGAAATATAGACTCAGATAGAGCTAGAGTATCTAGCTGTAGTGGTTACAAATCCCCAGCGCTCTGGTAGTGTTGTTGTTATTGTGTGCCTTGGAGTTGGTTCCGACTCATAGCGACCCTGTACAGGGTTTCCAAGGCTGTAAATCTTTACAGGAGTAGAAAGCCGCACCTTTTCCCCGCGAACAGCTGGTAGTTTCAAACTGCTGACCTTGAGGTTAGCTGCCCCATTCGTAACCACTAATTGGGCTGCAAACCTTTAAGGTCAGCAGTTCGAAACTACCAGCTATTCCATGGGAAAAAGGTGCGGCTTTCTACTCCTGTAAAGATTTACAGCCTTGGAAACCCTGTACAGGGTCGCTATGAGTCGGAACCTACGCGACGGCACAGGATGACAACCTTTGTTTACTGTTTCTCAGGTGACATCTGGTGGATAAAAATTGAAATGCACTTTTGTAGTTTTAGAATGAATGATAAGGTAGGGTGAGTCCATTTAGTTGAGAATTAATTTTATTAATATTTCTGGCATCATAATATTCATAGTAGGTAGGATTTATGGACACTATGCTTGGTAAAGTGGAAAGAATCACAAAGAGAAAGATTCCTAATGAGATAGATTGGCACAGTGGCAGCAGCAATGGGCTCAAGTGTAACAATTATGATTATGGCTTAGGACAGGGCAGTGTTTCATTCTGATGTTGTGTATAGGGTTGCTAGGAGTACCAATTGACTTGACAGAACCTAACAACAAGGAATTGTAGTGAGATGGCGAGAATACTAGAGTGCGATTTGGTGGGCTCTGGGTCCAGCTGCAAGATCTGGCAATAAGCAACTACATTTTTTTTCCCTCAACAAGCTTGCAAAATAAAGAAACAGATGATGGACTAACAAACAAAAATCCAATTGATGTTAGACTTTTCAGTGGCAATATTGGATTGAAAAGATATTTGGTAGAAATTTTTCTTTATAACTAGAAATCTCTTTGTTGTTGTTAGGTGCCATTGAGTCAGTACCGACCCATAGTGACCTTATGCACAGCAGAACGAAACACTGTCCAATCCTGGGCCAACCTCACTACTGTTGCCACTCTTGAGTCAATCGATGCTGCCACTTGGCCAATCCATCTCGTTGGGGGTCTTCCTCTTTTTCTCTGACCCTCCCCCTTA